CATCGCGCTTGGTGACGTTTAATCCAATTGATGATATGAGTCGTTGTCAGGGCTCGCTCTTTGTTTCGCATTTCCGTAATGAACTCGAGGAGTCCATCAGGGTCGGGGAATATCTCGCAACGTCCACCGGGGCTTATTTTCATGCGTTTTTTGTTTCCAGTGTAAGCCAGGATTTCGTCGCGTTGATCTTCCCATCCTCGTATAGTGCGTCGAGATATACCCGTGGCTTTGGCAACCTGGCTGTCGGTCTGAGTCTCCAATCGTCCAAGTATATCAAGCTTGACAGCCACACTGTAGCAGCGCTTTGACTTTCGAAGTGTCGAGTTCATGTTATTCGAAATGAGAGGCGAGTGATCATGCAAATCAAAAAAATATCGCGCGGGCGGGAGGATAATAATACGGCCAATCAGAAGGCTTTATATTTGTGTTTGAATATTATTGGTCAAATATACAGTTGTCAATTTTTGAAATTCGATGGCGTACCATTCCTTCGTTGACTGTAACCTTTTACTTCGGTGCCAACACGTAATTTTTTGTTATTTAGTTTTTCCAGTTTTGACATGTTTCATTCGAAGAAATGTGTATTTTATGAATACAAATTCCGACATACTTTCGTGGTTAATCTAATTCGCAGTCGTAAAACAAATAGTCGAGAAAAACGGGGTGTTATGTTATAACCTTTTGCAATGCACTGTATCGAATGATCTGCCTTCTAACGTTACCATTGGAATATCCATATTTTGTTTGTACCTTCCGACATATTCCACAAAACCTACAAATGTGAGCTACATCCCACACATACTGGTAACGTATGGAGTTAGCTCACCCATTCTCTTCAGTGCATTGCCAGTCGTAAAAGCCAGCAATATGGCACAATGATGGCATTTCATTGCAAGGCTTATACAGTAGAATGTTTCCATAGAGTGAATAAGTGAATATCTACAAGGCACCCGACTGGCCCAACCGGGCATGCGACGCCAACTGCGCGAACGGTCCCCCGTCGGTGGCCAAGAGGGCGTGGGGGGCGTCGTACTCCACCACTCGGCCTTGATCTAACACTAAAATGCGGTCGCTGTCCAGGATCGTGTCGAGGCGGTGGGCGATCACGAGCATCGTGACGCCATCGAAACACTCGTTGATAGTCTCCTGAATCAGCCGGTCGGTGTCCAAGTCGATGTTGGCCGTGGCTTCGTCCAGCACCACCACGCGACTCTGACGCAGCAGGGCGCGGGCGATGCACAGCAGCTGCCGCTGGCCCACCGACAGGTTGCTCCCCTTCTCGGCCACGTGGAACTCCAGCCCCCCGTTGTCCAAACTGTCTGCCAGGTGCACCTTCTTGAGCACAGCCCATAACTCGTCGTCAGACACTTCGTTCGCTGGATCCAAATTGAACCGCAAACTGCCGCTGAACAGCACCGGGTCCTGGGGAATGATGGTCAGGCGCGACCGCAACGTGTGCAGGTCCACGGTCGCAATGTCCACGCCGTCGATATAGATGTGTCCGCCGTCGGCCCCTTCCACCAGGCGGAAGAGCGCCGCCATGAGCGAGCTCTTACCCGACCCCGTGCGGCCACAGATGCCCACCTTTTCCCCTCCAACGACCTCAAACGACACATCCGTCAAGACCAAATCCAAGTTGGGACGGTATCGCATTGAGAAGGATTTGAACTCAATCGATCCCACTGATGGCCACGTCTTTGGCGGGGCTACTAGAACCGCCGAAGCATTGACAGAGTCGCCTTCAGTGTCCAACGAGTTGTAATGCTCCAGCCGTTCCACGCAAGTCATGATGTTTTCAATCACGGACGAAGCCATGGTCATTCTGGATAGAAACGATGACATTTGAGCGACGTACGTCAGAGCCAACCCCGCGGCGGTGATGCCGATGCTCGCTTTGGACGCGACCGTAATGAACGACACGCCGGCGAGGATGCCCGCGGAGAGCCAGTCGAGCCTCATCTGCATCCACCTTGACGAGATGCGGTAGATCATAAAGTAGCTCTGGTTGTGATCGAGTATGGTGCGGCCCTTGGCGGCAAACTCGTCGGTCATGCCAAAGGCGCGGATGGTGGAGAGGCCATCGATGGTTTCTGAGATGAGGTTGATCACGGGGGTGCGGGAGATGCTCTCGAGGCGCTTGAGCTCGGACGATGTGAGCAGGAAGAACACTTGCACCTTGTGGAACAAGTACACGAGTGGAACGTACACGAGCAAGATAAACGGTGACGTGGTAGCACACACGACGATCACGGCGGCAATTTGAAACCCGAATTGGAGAAAGTGGACCCCAAAGAACGGCAGGATATTGTCGACTTGATCTAAATCGCTGGAGAATCGATTGAGGATACGACCGACTGGCGTGATGTCGAAGAACGTCGTCACAGGCGCGTGAATCACCTTGCGGAACAGCTTGGCATGCAGCGCCTTGGAGCACAACACGCACAGAAACAACACGTACACACTGCGCCCCCACACGAGCGCCATCGCCACGAGGGCTAGCACGACGTACACGACGACGGATGTGACATCGTTCCCCGGGTGGGTGGACCAGAACCCCATGAACCAATCCGTGGCCACCACTGCCGTCTGCGATATCGTAAACGCCACGACGATGCTCACGGCCACGAACGCCCCGTTCCACCCCGTGGACCGCAAGTACGTCAGGTACAGACCAGAGGACACGCCGCCCATCTGCCTGTCTTCTTTCTGCACCAGAACCCCGCCGCCGCCGCCGCATTTCGAGTCGCCTGCTTTGGCCTGCTTCTCCTCGTCCGCCTTGACAACAACATCATCACCACCACTCGCGTCTTCTTCTGGCCAGTCAGCCTTCACAAGCGTCGAAGGGTCTTCCGACACGTCTGTAAAGCTCACGAGATGCGGAAACCCTTGCTTTATCGAGTCAAACGTCCCATCCCCGACGATCATGCCGTCTTCCATGACGAGAATGCGATCGGCATGGGGCAAGAAGTGGTAGTGGCTGTTGAGTACTAGCACCACCGTCTTGTCCGCCAACAGGTTCTGTACACACTCGCGGAACACGGCGCCGGCCACATGCACGTCCAACGCGCTCAGCGGATCGTCCAGCAGGTACAAGTCGGCGTTGTGAGACCGGTACATGGCTCTGGCCAGACTCACGCGCGCCTTCTGTCCGCCGCTGAGGTTGATGCCCCGCTCGCCGATTTCGGTCTGGTCGCCGTCGGGCAGCACGGCCAGGTCCGCCTTGAGCTGGCACGCCGCCACCACGCGGTCGTATTTCACATCGTCAAAGGCACTTGTGAACAAGATGTTGTCCTTCAGCGTGGCGTGCTGGATCCACGCTTCTTGGTTCACATACGCCACGCGTCCAGTTACGAGTCGACTTCCGCTGACTTGGTGGATTTCTCCCAGGAGCGCGCTGATGAGGCTGGACTTGCCGCTACCGACGGGCCCCACTACGATCGTGAGGGTGTTGGGGGCGATGGTCAGCGAGATGTCCTTCAACGTCATTGGTCCTTCGTTCTCGCTGGCCTCTTGTCTACCACTGGGGTCGATGTTCCAGCTAAAAGTGCCATGGCTAACCTCCACGGCGAAGGACGAATCAGCGGCAGCTCCTTCGAGCACTTGTGGACTTGGAGGTACTTGTGCGATTTCGTCGGCCAAGAGGAACGTGCCAACTCGCGTAGAGGATGCCCATGCTTCTAACGCAAACATGATGGAGCTGGAGAAAACGGTGCACGGTAGCCGAGCCACGTTCATGTACGCGAGAGCTGTGAACGCCAGCGACGGCGTGAGCTCGTGGCCTTGAGCCACATACACGGCCAGACACAGTACAAGTGACAGAATCGGCGCGATCGACAGCGTCACAGTGTTGAGCACGCGCACGTACTGGTACTTTTTGAGCAGGGCCAGCTCCTCGTCTCGAATGGACGCGATGCGCGCCTCCAGCGGCGACTCCCACGCGTACAGCTTGACCACGCGCACCCCCTGGAGCATCTCGTTGGTTAGCTTGACGCGCTCGGACTGGACGGTGAGGATTTCGCGGCGGACGGCGCCAACGGCCGTGGATGTGGTGTAGCCGCTGTACAACAATGCTGCCATGACGACGCCGCCGACGACACCGGACAAGGCGCCCAGATCGAAGCCAATCATGATGAAGACGGCCAGCACGGTCACGGGCGCGACGAGGACCCATGGCCCGAGAAGGAACCCCTGGAACAACCGCTCTGAGTCCACGGATGACAGCGTGACTATCTCCCCTGACGACATGTTGCGTTTGGCAAAGCCGGACAGTTTGAGCGACTTGAGGTAGACCGAATCCATGACGATGGACTTGGCGTTCACGCCCAAGTTGGACGACACGTACTGGCCAAAGTCGATGATCGTCACGGACAAGAACGAATGGACAGTCAGCAGCGCCGCGAGGGCATACCCCGACGAGATGCCCAGGGATGTGTGGACAGGTACTTGGTCGTCGTTCGATTTGGCTTGGAGGAACTGCAGAAGCGACTTGATGATGTTGGGCTGCAGCAACATGAGCGCAGCGTACAATGCGTACAGCGCCACATTGAAGTACCATTGCGATCGCATGGTGCGCATCATGGCTTTGGCGAAGCTCGGATGTGGCTGCAGCTTCTCGTGCTGCCAGAACACGTCAAAGCGGCCGTGGAGTACGGCGGACGTGTGTTCCGGACACAGCTTCCACACATCTTCCTCCATGAGCGTCTGCTTGGCGCCGCGACGCATCATCGGTTCAATCCAAAACATGACAAATGTACTGAACCAGTTGGC